CATGGCACAGAAAACATGGTTTTGCTGCATCTTAATCACAGAAGGAATAAGGGCAATACAGCCATTTCAGCTGAATCACTGTGAAAGAAGGAAAGGATATATGAGGTGCATTTTGTAGCTGCAGAAACATTCCCAAGAACACTTGAGAATCTGACAGGTCTTCTACAATCTAACCAGTAACAGAAAATTTCTGACTAGGCATGGAGGTCTCCACAGCATCCTGCTACCCATTTTTGACACAAATGTAGCAGGCTTTTCCTTTTTGACATCAGAGATTCACTTTCTTCTGAAAGAAGTGTTCTTTATTCTATAAAGAATATATATTATACAACATAGCATTTACCCGTATTTACTGCTTCAGCCTTTTGGTTTCATTACCTTTGAAATTAGACTGAAGCCATATGGATGTAAGCTATCAAATCCTCAGTCATACCAGTCATACACCTGAATCCATTCTAGATGAGACTATGCTACAGAGACCTCAAGTACATGAGGTTCACCACATGGAGTTTAATCTTTGCTTCGTTTACATCACCACAGATCTTTTGTATCACATCCCAATGTAAATTTACACAAGCTAGAAACAAATCACCTCTTAATTTTAAAGAGCTTTGCAAGATTTCTTTAAGTAGACAAATACTACAACAGACAGTTAATAGCAAGATTCACTCTTTACCTTACATAAACATTTTGACAATCCAGGAAATGTCTTTAAGACCATAGCCTGACTGGGAAAAGACTGGCAATAACAAAAATCACACTCTCTCATACAACTCATTAAAACCAGAAAGACCTTTAAACAGAAAACAGAACAATAATCATCAAGGTGCAAATCTGCAACACTGCAAAGAACTGAACTACCTGTTTCTTTAAGCCAGTTTCTTCAAGAATGGTTTAAAATAGTCACACACAGCACACCCATAAAATGGCTTTTGGGAGCATGTTAAAAGAAAACTTATGACTTAAAGAAGAGTCAAGCCTTGGACAGACCACCAAGGCCGGTCCGTTTAACTAAGTCTCCCAAATCTGATTCTGTTATTACCAGTTTTAAAAGAGATTCACTAACAATCTTAACCCCAAGAATAAAAACATAAACCCCACAACCAGGAACTAATATCTGACAGAGATTTGTTTGTTTACAGAAGGTTTTAAACATTTGCAAAATGAAGGCAAGGATATGCCATATTCTCAATTCTCTTGCTCAGAGAATTTTTAATGCATTTCTTTTTCCCTGAAAGCCCAGTTAGTTACATCATCAAAACACTACCAAGCAGCTTACTTTCATTTCAAAGGTGAGCCTTGCTGCAATTTTGAAGTGGTTATACTCAACTGCTTTCAAACTGGCTCAACACCATAGCACCAATCAATTGCATTAATGTCTCAGCAGAAGAATCTACTAATAAACACAGTACTCAGTCAACATTACCCCACTTTAAATAACACAAGTTCTCCATAGGTGAAGGGCAATACATGCAAGACCACTTATGCTCCTGATTTTGATAGAAAGGTAGCAGCAAAGTATCCTCAAGCAAATATGAAGCATATTGATAATAACAAGAACCCAGGCAAAGCATAACATAAAACCCAAGAGAAGGCTGTAGCATACGGCTCCAGTCATGTGGATCATGACGACTGTTTCAAGTCGAGAGAGAAGAGGACCCATGAAAAGTGTTAGCCTGCTTTTAACAACTATAAAACTGGAGCTCACACATGCTTCATTCAAAAGAAAACCAAAACCCACACAAAAAAGCAATCAACCACCTACAAGCTCTGAGGTGCAATATTAGCATGCTGCTTTCAGTGCCACTGACAACAAAGTCCTCCTTCCTACAGCCTCCTAGCCCAATACACAAGGCAGGTACAAATAAAGCTCTGCTCATCTGGTGATTTTCAGTTTTTATTAGAACTGAAAGTTTAGCTGGACAACAGAGCACATGAAGCATAAAATCCACATTTACAGAGATCCTTCCAAAGCCTAAGTTCATCTCACAATTGTATTTTATTCATTGTTCAGTCAAAGAGGGTTCATTCAGGCAGAGCAAAGACACTTCTGTCACTACGGCATATACACATTTCTTTACCACATCCCACTAACTCAGAGCTACAGATCTGAATTAGAAGTCAGGAAGAGTGGGAAAGAGGAATGGAAATTAACTGAAGAAATATTCATCTCGCTCACCAGCAGAAAATGCATTTAATCAGAACACAGGGCAGTATTAAATTTTCATGACAGAATAATTTGAAATGTACCTAACTCGATTATTTTAGCAGCAGTTCTTACCTGCATTACAGTGATTTCAAGCCTCTTCAAGAAAAAACACCCATGAATTTACTGGTTGTGAGCAATCATCAGATATCAAAAGAATAACCTACACACAAACTCAGTAAGTCTATGGCACGGACTATGTCACTCCTAAATTTAAAGGCTGTCAAGGTTATATATTGGTAAAAAGCTCCTTACTTTATTCACATTAGTATTCATGTTAGGAATCCTACTGCCTTCAGATGGTCCACTTACATGGTTATTAAACCTGATCAAATGTTTCACTGGTATAGTACAACATGCATTGAATTTGGCTATGTTATTCCTACTAGAGCCAATGTAAGTTATGTAGACAGATGGGATTCTATCCTGAGCATCAATACTAGAGTCATCTTAAACTCAACCCGGAAAGCTAACCGAGTGATGAGTAAAAAGAACCTGCTCCTGCTGATTTCAGCAGTGTCAGACACAACCCAGTTTGCAGTTCTCGAAGATAAGCCAACACTCAAAACCAACTAATACCTCTAGAAAATAAGCACAAATACTATATCTTGACTTGCTTTAAACACTATAGCTACTAAATAGATACCCAGAAATACACTTACCAAAGAAAAAAGGCAAATTAAGCTTAATTTCTACACCACAAATGCAAACCTGGCTTTCTGTATTTTACTTGGGAAGACACGCTAGGCGCATCATTGATTGGTATACATATACACAGTGACTTCTTACTGCATCAAAAACATTAAACAACAGCTGACTTGATGTCCACAGAACATATTGCTGTAAAAGGGAGAATGCACTTGCACAATTTAACACAAGCTTAGTCTTATTTCTTCCAGCACAAGCCTCATTCCAGTGTCTACTGATGATTAATTTTAATGGCCCTTGATCACACATCCACTTTAGCTTAAAGTTCTGAGATTGGCAAAAGAACACCAAAGATTATATTACTAACACCTCTACAATAACAACCTAGTTGCATCCACATTTTCACTCCAAACCTATTATTCTCTGTAAACCCAAGTCTAAGCAAAGCTCTCACCAGTAACCTTTCCCTGGAAAATTCTATAGGAAATTAAATGTAATACTCTATTAAGACTTGTTTTGCAAACAGAAGTGAGAGAGCTCAGCCAAGCATGCAGAGTCATTAAAATGGCTCTTACATATATCATTATAAATTTAATAATCTCCATGACGGCTAGAGTTCAAGTTAAAATGAATGGCAGCAAAGCATGACCAATTGATGTTATCCCAGCTGCCACTGAGCCTCACTTGGGGTTATATTATACTGTCAGAGGCCCCACACTACATGTGCACAAAATACCCTGAACCAGGACCAGATGGGAGATGCAGGCTTCTATACCTATCGGCAAGGAGAGACTTGCATATTAATTTTGGTGCATCACAACAGTTACAGTACACTCCAGTGTCACAACTCCCAAATGCTTTTTCCCATTCTACCCTATATCCAGGATAATGTTAGATGCTTAAGGAGGGGGGAAAAAAAAAAAAAAAAAAAAGGTGTACTAACATCCTCCAGAAATTAAGTCAATGGAAAGATTTTGTTTCAACCCTCATTGATTTACATCAGTCCCAGAATGCTTCCTTGAAAAAGTAGAAAGAAGACCTTGGCAGCTCATCGCCTAATAGATCATGCGTGGAGCAATTAAAATACATTTGGGACTTCTATTTGGTTCCCCAAATAAGTGTTCCCTAAATGCATTTCTCTCTTAAGTAAGCAGCTGCATTTCACCCAGTAATGAAAGTTTTCCAGGCTGCCTAGACTTCTAATGGGGTGACAGGGAAACCACTTTCATTCTTTAGCAGATTTGATGAAAGTGTGACACTAACCCCCTCTCTCCAAAATCAGACAGTGCTCTTGAACACCAAAGTAAGAGCTAATGGTCCTTTTTTTTTCCAACTTACTTTTCAGCTGAAATAAAAACCATATGTATAAGCTACAGGAAAAAAAAAAAAACCCTCTCCACACAAAGCTGAACACACAGTGTTCTATCACCCACCAAATCTGTGTGAAAACCATATAAATGATTTATACAGTAGAAACGTGTCACATTTTACAGTTTGCTTCACTGATGCCAAGTAAACAAGTTTCAAATCCCAATTGTTCACAAGCCACAGTTCGCCTGAGATGGCAACTTCATTTAGGATAACTTAACATGCCAATCCATTAGCATTAAATGCTACAGTACCACCTCAACACACAGAGCTTCCATAAAGCACTTGGACACAAAATCCACCAGCTGACATTAAGCATGTTACACTGTGCATTTAGTTTCAAGTCCAAGTCACGTCTGGAAACTACAATAAAACTATCACGACAATGAGGATGCTGACAAGCATGCAACATTTTCAGCAGTTTTAATCACCAAATCTCAAGAAAGCCATTTGTTTACCTCTCTAATGATATCAGTGAAAATTTCAAGTCACAAGAAATCCATCATCTGATCAGACTCAATATACTTCATTTACAACGCACGTCTCAACAACCAGCAAAAATCCTGCAGAATTTTCCCTTCCCTCAGCGCTTTGCTCCATACATTGAAACAAGCCTGAAGAGACATATTTTCAAATATATAATCAGGAAAAGAGATCTACAGCCAGCTAAGCATAGCAAGCGGTTGCAATTGATAAAAACAGTTATAAGGAGCTCTTCTGCCACTTGTATCTCATTCAGCAATTTAAGCAGAAAGTGCCTCTGCCTTTTGTCACTTACCCTTTTTTGATCTTCCAGTCCATGTGTCACAGGCTTTCTTTTCTGATGCTGACTGGATTCAGAGCCAGGTTCCATTTCCCAGCTACAAAGACTCTTCTGGCCTCTTTAGGCTTTCTCTAAAAATCCATACTCTGAACAACAAAAATCTAAAAATCATTAAAAAAAAAAAGAAAAAAAGAAAAAAAAAAAGGCAAAAGAACACCTTCAAACCTTGTCCATATTCTTTATCAGCCTTCTAAACTCTCACTTGCCATCACAGATCATTATCTTAACAAGCATCCATTCTGTGAGCCTCTATATCCTATTTTAGTTCAGATGAAGGTCTCCATTCTTGTGCTTTACAGAAGGATGACAGAGCTGAATCCAAACCCAGTAGTTTGTGCCACATTATTGCTCCATCAGCAGCCTTTTCCTGGCACGGATAATTTATATGTCAATAAAGGTGTAAATGTGCATTTAATCCACTGTGTTGATATTATCAGCATCCCTCTCCTGGGCCACCTTCTTCCCATAAATCAATGTAAACACTTCACAGGGATAATTGCCTTTTGCAAATCTAGCAGGTGTTAATTACGTAAAATCATCCATGCACACTTGTCATCATCTTCTGTGTACTCAAACAAATACCTAAAAGGAGGGGAAAAAAAAAATGGGGTTTTACCAGCTTGAAAGAAAACATAGTTACTAATATTCTTCGCCCACCACCAGGAGCTGCAGGTTACAACTGATACAATAATTACACATATTGCATATGCCACACTCTTCATCCAAGCCTCTCAAAATGCTTTGATGCCTATTTAGTGTGTTGCCTTGCCTTTGGGGCTCCTTACCTAAAAACACCCCAGAATCACAGTATTGTACATCAGTGCTGAGCCTACTGCAATGCCGAGTGAAGCCTGCAGGGATTAACTCCAAACTCAGCCTTCTAGGATTCAAATTCTGCATCTAAAGCCAAATTAATTATTCTTCTGGGGTCTGCTACCCAAGAATCTTTCTCCAGAGCTCACAAGGTTATTATGTGCTGTCTCCCAAAATCCTGGGCACAAGAATACGCACATGAACAGGTTGTTATTATTACTTGGGAAACAAAGTAGCACCTGAAATCCCAGGTTAGCAACTCAACCACCTTATGATACTGCTCCTTTTCTACTGAGGAGGAGAAGTTTACTACAACAGAGACAAATAATTTCCTGAGTTCATTTGTAAGGTGAGCTCAATATCAGTGGGCTTCAATATGCAGGCACCAGAAAAAGCACATTTATTAAGTTGGATTCCATATCTAAAAAGGCTAAATGTTAAACCAATATTAGTGACCTTAGTTGAGTGTGGTATAAGAACACGTATTTGGCTGCACGTTGTTGATACAAGCTCTGGTCACAAGACAAGCACAAAAAAAAAAAATCCAAAGAAAATCATATAAAACATCCTAATAATCAGATATTCTCCCATTACTAAAGTATGGGTAGCATGAAAAAGAGATTTACCATAACCAGAGTAAAAACCGTCTATACCCCACTTCCATCTTTCCACAAACCTTCAGCACTACACAAATTGAATACCCAAATTAAACATCTAAGTCTGACATAGGTCAGATTCTTGGTCAAACACATAAGCAGGGGCCATTGTCTGTTGTTGTTTCAAGGCAAACATCACAAGACAATAGGCAGAAACACTGCTTTTGTCTATAACCTCAAATGCTCTTTACTGCTCCTCACCATGCAGTGAGCATCCCCTTCTTTTTCTTCTGATAAGTATAGGAAAGAATATGACTGACTGCAGGAATGCTGCTATGCTTTGCTAGTTGAAAATAAGCTAAACCCCATATCTAACCTATTTTATAGGGGAAGAAGAGCTTCCAGATTTTATTTTGAATCACAATCTCCTCCTGATCTGGTTTCACACCCATGGAAATCATACAGGTAGCTTGAAGGCAGTAAAGGGCCTTTGACTTTAGCAACAAATATCACACCAAAAAAAAGAAAAACCAACTTTTATACATGTCCTGAAGTCCTACCAACAAAATCCTTCTCCTTCAAGTGATTTCACCATGATGTGACACATGAGACTGCATCAGTCACATCGTGTAATGCCATGCTGGAAGAGAATGACATAACCAGTGCAGCTAAGGACAACATCTCTCTACATGAAAGGTCCCCCGAACCAGAAAAAAAAAGAAAAAAAAAAAAAAAAAGATTAAAAAGTACAATCTCTCTGGAAGTTCCTGTGCATTCAGTGTTATGGCTTTCACCATCCCAGAAATAAACTCTCCAGGGAAACATGCACATTTCTATTTGTGTATAGTACTTTGAATATGCCTATAACCTTGGAGCATGCATCACAGCACAAGTTTTTAATATATACATATATACATAAAACATACATATATAAATGTTATTATACACGAGTTTCATACATATAAAAAAAATATTAACAATAAAGAAAAATTTATCCTGAAGCTTGAAAAACGATGTCATTCAAATCAGCCACAAACAAAAACATTTTAATTATTTGGACTGAATTTACCCCTCCAATGAAAAGAAGTTTCACTGCTTATCTCTGCACCTACCTAACGGTGAAAATGGATTTGTTAATGGTAAATTGGTATTAAAAGCAAAATAGACATTTTAAGGAGAAAATAGGTATGATTTGCTGGGAAAATTGATATATCAGGGATGAGAAATCCCAACAAAATGCCAAGTGACCAGAAAATCTTTGTTCTCCCATTTTCCTACCACCACAAGATCCGGAGCCCCAGTCTGGAGGCCCATGGTGCCACAGACTGAAAAAACTTGAGCCAAACAGCCAGGAGAGACCGGAGCCTGAACCTGCCCTTGCCTCAAGCATATGCCCCCACCTCAGAGAGCCTCATCTGAATCCATGTTCTAATTTAAGCCTCAGGGGATGTGTCCTACGAGGGTCTATCCTCACACACAGCCTCAAAAGGATCCACACCTTCATGAAATGTCTATCAGAGAGGTCTCGCTGGGTAACCAGATCCCCCATCAACCCCACCTGGGGGCTTCCTTCGCTAGGAGCAAAGCAAATAAACACAACTTCGCTTATTTTTTAATGTGAAAAAAATAAAAGAAATAGCTCTCAGCCCCGCCAATTTTTCACTCCCACAACCGAACCTGCTTCAGAACAAGCAAACTGAAATACATTCGCAGATCTTTCCTCGCAAGTTTTAGGTTCTTTTTGGAAGGGGGGGGGGGGGGGGGGGCTTTCTACAGAAAATGGAAGCACAGCGGGAAGTTTCCCCGCTCTCTAACACAGCCTGAAGCGAATGACAAAACCAGCACCTCCTCCAACCCACTGGATGGGGAGAAAGGGGGGAGAAGCTCCCCTCTGCCCCAGTGCACGATAAAACATAAAAAAAAATTATAATAGTTTGTTGGTGATGAAGAGGAGCAGCACAGCCACTGCGGGAGCGGGGCTGGAGACCCCCGAACTCCTCCACCTCACATCCTCCGGCCCCTCCCGCGCCCACCAGAAGCCGGCGACAATAGAGGATCGCTGCCGATCGCGGAGGAGTCGCAACCGCCTCTGCCATGCTTGAGGGTGAGGGAACCCGTCCCCATCCCCTCCCGCTAATCCCGGCGGCGGGAGCCCGCTTCCCCGGCGTGGCACGGCTGGCTGCCGGCCCCTCAGCGCCTAACCGCCGGTACAAACTTTCGCATCCCACAGGCCCGCCGAGTGGCACGTCCCCGCCAGTACCTGCTGGTGCTGGTGCTGCTGCGGCAGGGCAGGCGGCCGGCATGCCCATGCGGCCGGGGCAGGGCGAGGGACCGCCCCTGCGCACCCGGCTCCGGCTTCGGCTCCGCGTCCGCCGCTCCACTCTGCCGCCACTACTCACTCTCCGGTTACCCAGGCAACCGCCGCCCGCCCTTTCACTTCGCTCCCTCCCTCCTCACAACAGCGCCCTCGCTAGCCAACCGCAAGGCCGCCCGCCATGACCACGTGAGGCCGGAAGGCCAATGGGAGGCGGGGCTGCGGTCGGCGGAGTCAATGAACAGACACTTTGAGGGGGAGGAGGGAGCAGCGCCCCTCTGCGCCTCAGCGAGCATGGCGCTGGCGGGCACCTGCGGCCCCACAGGAGCAGCCACCGGCACCCGTTGGCGTGACACTTCCACTGAGGGACAGAAGGACCAAGGTGATGCGGGCGGTGTTCGGGCAGAGTGGGGAGGGGGACAGGCACAGGAGGTGCCACAGGGCAGCGCTGTAGTGCTGTGCAGCGTTGGTACCAAACACGTCTGGAGGGGATCGTATCATAGAATCCCAGAATGGTTTGTGTTGAAAGAGACCTTAAAGCTCATCCAGTTCCAACCCCCTGCCACGGGCAGGGGCAACTTCCACTAGACCAGGTTGCCCCAAGCCCAGTCCAGCCTGGCCTTGAACACTGCCAAGGATGAGGCAGCCACGGCTTCTCTGGACAACCTGTGCCAGCACCTCACCACCCTCACAGGGAAGAACTTCTGCCTAAAATCTAATCTAAATCTCCCCTCTGTCAGGTTAAAGCCATTTCCCCTTGTTCTGTCCCTACAAGCCCTTGTCCAAAGCCCCTCTCCCTCATAAGGTTTCTTGTAGCCCCTCTAGGCACTGGAAGCTGCTCTAAAGTCTCCTGGAGCCTCCTCCAGGCTGAACCAGTTCTCTCAGCCTGTCTCCAGTGCAGAGCTGCTCCAGCCCTCGCAGCATCTCCATGGCTTCCTCTGGACTCACTCCAACAGCTCCACGTCCCTCTTGTGTTGTTGACCCAGAGCTGGATGCAGGACTGCAGGGAGTTCTCCCCAGAGCTCACTGGAAGGAAAATATATGGGGTTTACCTTGAAAGATTGATCCTCAAACCAAATACACTTTGATAGTAACAGGCAGTGCTGTAATATACTGTGTTTAGAGCAGAATATTACTGATAGAGTCAAGGCTGGCCAGAGGCCACAGAAGTGGGTAGTGTTGAGGGACTGTGGGTTTCTGAAAGCAATCAGCTGGTAAGGGTTCACTGCCCGTTCCACCTGCAGTCCAAGAATCCCAGGATGGCTATTGCCTACCATCTTTCGAGAGAGGACAGCATGAAAAGAAGTAGTCCCTGTTCCTCAGGAGTATGTATTACGGAGCAGCATCAACCTTCATCCTTCCTATCCCTGCACCGGCCCAGGATTTCAAGGCATCTTCCTCATGTTCTGTCTAAACTTCAGTGAGTCCCATATATGACTTTTTCTGTGGTACCTCATTCTTGTGGAAAGAAAATTCAGTTCCCCTCCCAAATAAAATTATGACTACAGTCTCCCCTTGCTCTTAGCTTTATCCTCAAGGTTGTTGATTCAGCAGAGCTGCAGCTCTCTACCGAGTATTCATGATACGCACAAAGATGGAACACCAGTAAATAAAATTTATACCTCATGTAGACCTTTTCTTTAGTTTAAATATTCAAATATGTGGCCTCTAAAAAGAAGGCTATGAACTTCGGTTGCCTGAGGTTTGGTTTAAACATAGGAGATGCCAGGAACACCTGGGCTGCTCTTGGGACCTTTAAGGACATGGCAGTTTGCAGAACGCCTATGCTCAATGCCTTTGCTAGCACTTGCTCCTTGCTGAATGCCAGCTCCTGTGGAAAATGACATCGCTGTCA